GTTGTTGTTTATTAGAGGGAATTCAATAGGAAGTTGCCCTGATGGACCCTTCATACGTTGGAGCTGCTCTAAAAGGGATGGAGGTAGACGTGAAAATAAACTCTAAGAAAAAACTTTGAATACTTAGATCTAATGGAAAACTATGCATAAAATTGAGAACAGTGCCATAGGACTAAAACTATTTTATTGTTTGGATGGGAACTAGATCCATATTTATATTGGACTTCAACATTTTGTCAAACAGAAGCTGCCAAGTTTTCTAAGGGGCTTCGGTTGGATGAGTTAGAAACAAGGCGCAATCGGCCTTAAACACAAACACCTTGGACTTGGACCCTAACTACAAATTCAATAGTGTATCCTCTCGCATCCCACCTTGGACTTGGACCTTAAAAGTTTAAATTCTGAGTTTTTTTGATAAATTTGGAATGCTGCAGTTTATACCTTTACTCGTTTACAGAGAAAGAAGCTAGCCATGTTGGAATTAGCACTTGTGACCATAGGAGAAGGAAGGAGCTCAAAGAGAAACGTGTCGTATGTATTTCCATCAGTAACTGTTGTTGTATTCTCGCATTATTTGTATTTGATTGTATATGTTATTGAGTACATATGATCTAAGGTGTAAGCTTTGATTGTTGCACTTCTTGAGGCTCCGGCAGGTTTGAGCCACGAGTGAAACCATGGTCACATGTTCACCCTGTGGATTCATAGTTACCATGATCTTCCCCTTATGGTAAACCAGGTACCGCACTTGCTTTGTCACGTTATTTGAAGTACTTCAATTTTCTTTGGAGGAATTTTTTGTATAAGCTTTGGTCTCGATGAAGTGTAGTCTAATCTTCTTCAGCGCAAATGTCACGGGATGGGAGTTGCGAACGAAACCTTTCGTGAGGACTCTTGGGTTTCTATGGCAGGAGGGACATCACATAATCGAAACATTTGCTGGTGCTGTTAGGACCTATACGAAAAGGATATGATGAATGACCGGAAGGCATTACAGCCTACAGGCCGGAACCAGCCATAATCTTGGGCAGAAATTTTCTTGTGCCTTCGAAACACAGGTACTTCCAGATGCTTCAACAAATCAAAGCCTCATTTATACTGTTCTTTCTGAGGCAGTGGAACATAAATTGACCAAAATCTATGCAAGCAGTTTACTAATGAAAGTAGACAGAGGCAACACGTGTGGCAAGCTTCATGGGCTGTCAGTAAATTGCACCGATACAGGTGAAGCTCTGAAGTTGGAAATCTTTATGCATTGTACAAAAATATGTAGACGTCGATGTTTTCTTGCTTTGGCGTTTATTCCTCGTCTCCTCCTCGGAGTTTTATTAAACATCTCTGTAGTTACCTTCATTACAAGAACTAGTAAGAAAGCCGGGTTAAACAGGGCCTTGCCTATGCTCTCGGTTAGATATCTGTTTGTTTATCGGAAAATTAGTAGAGGCATTGACAGTAAGAATGTTTATTTGCAGCAATATTGTGAATGTGAATTCATATGAACTCAAAGTTGCAATCTCCCAGGGCAAATGGGCGAGAGATCCTTGGTCGGCTAGGTATGTGTACTTTGAAAGCTGCAAATGATTCGCACAACAACGAAGAAGAGTTAAAAGCAAAAGAAAAAACCGGGGCAACCATCAGATGCTTTCCTTTTGAGCTGCCGCACGCAAGGGATTAAAAGATGCTTGATGACTGGTAACCCTGCCGAGGAAGGGTTACAGTTGAGTAAATTGACCAAAATCTACACACTCGTTTTTACATTTCATACAACCCTCTTAATTTCCGACCGTCGAGTAAATCGGACTGAAAACAATCAGAGAATAAGTAAAAAGTGAAAAGGGATAGCAGCACCCTTTCTTAAAGTACTTGCAGATGTTCTTTCAAAGCAGGTTGCCCGATTCCGTTTTATTTTTTGTCACAAAGTGGAATACAAATACAAATATGGGCACAAACTTTTAAAGCACCAAATTTCAGGGGCTCAGCAGCAAAAGTCAAATCTTTAGGAGGACTAGTTGCTTACGCCGAAAGCGATTTGATGCTTCACCAATGGGGTTGCATATTGTGGAGTTTGGTTTGTTGACCGTGGAGTCCGTCTTGGTGGAAACGATGTGACGCTTCACCAATGGGGTTGCATATTGTGGAGTTTGGTTTGTTGATTGTGGAGTCCGTCTTGGTGGAAGAATTCGTAGCGAGATAGCGAAATCGTCATGTGATATTGTTATATGATCGGACGATATGGTAAAGTTGTAGAGTGTAACTTACTCTTGTGAACAGTCATAAGAACATCTTACTTAGGGCCATCATGCATTCCGATCATACCATTGTCTTTTGGTGCCATCCGATGAGCCTTGGCCAAACAATCACGTGATGAGTGTTTAAAACAAAGGACTCTTCGGATGGGTCATTTAGTACTACGGTCTAGTGATATTTCTTTTCACTTGCAAGTGAGAGATCGTATGTTCGATTCTTACTAACGACGAATTTGAATCACATTATTGCTAGTATATTGTGAGACTAAGCACATCCCTCCCCATACTATCGTTTGTTCAAAGAATAGAAGAAAAAAAGGAACTCTTCGAATGATGAAGTTGATAGATTCAAGTATCGTAATCAGAAACAGAGCTAGAAATTTCTTTTAATGTGGGCAACGTGAAAATCAATTAAGAAAATCTTATTATAGTATGGCTTAGAACCAATATGAAAATAGGTATAATTTCAAATGATAATGTATCACAAATTCACAATTCCAATGTTACAAAAATTTTAGTGTAGTAGTGGAAAGTAGCAAAATGATAAGAAAAATATTAATACATAATTATGCAAGAGTGAGATTTTTTAGTTTGAATGATAGAACAAGAGTACTTTTGCTCATATAATATTTGATTTGGAGTATACGCAGTATAAAAGTATGTTAGATACTAGGTACATATATTTTCTTAAAAAATAATGCGTGTGTATTATATAATTGTAGTCTATAACTTAACAAATGAATCATTTGAGTGGAGGCATATGGCCCCAGTGAGCCTTCATTGGTCCCGTCCTTGATCGTAATATCATATAACAGTGTGACACAATTTCTCTTATTGAGTGGGGGCCGCGGTTGGAAGATGCCAGTTGGCTGTTTCCTTTGGACGATAGTGGAAGGAGAATAATTTGTAGACTTTTCGGGGCGAGTGGGGCCCACTGGGCTTGTGCTTGCGGTTGTTGGGGTTCTTTCCGTGGAATAAAAGTTAGAAAATGCGTAGGAGATGTTTAGGAAATTTCCTTCCTCTTTCTAATTTTTATTTTCTCTATTCTAATTCTTTTTACCAAATTATACATTTTATTGTGGGATTTGGAGTGGAAAACATGGAGAGATTTAGATGGATTTCACTAGCCAATGAAATCCTTCCATTTGTAAAGGGATTGTGGAATTTGCACATTTCCTCAGATTTTAATTAAATGAGATTCTCACTAGGTTTGTTTTCTAAAACCACGTACGATATTCATTATGTATTGCGTATGGTGTTTTTTCGTTTTTTCAAAGATCAACTTGTGGTTTTACCATTGTAGTTTGTCCTTTTGGGATCGAGAAGATTTATAGAAGCATTTCAACATTTTATTACCACTATTATGTTATTCATAGTAATCGAATCAGAATGTGCCGTATAAAATTTAAGCCTAAAATTTGTTCCCAACTATTGAGTCATTCCGTGATAGTTGAGTATCGTATTTGTTTAGTATTACTTGGAATACTTATAAATTTCAAACCCTTCAACCGATGCTTCAATTTTTACTCCAATTTATAAAAGAAATAATAATATAAAAGGTCACTTATACCTAACCTTTTTTGTAAGACAATTTCATGATACAATAACTAAAATGATGTGACAAACTTTCTTATATCTTAAATGATGTTGGGATTACATATAGGGAATAGGTCTTATTAGTTTAATTTTAATTCAAACATCTCGATTGTCACGTCAATTAAGTTAAAAAATTGCAATATTTGTGCTATATGATTTTCCTAATTTTTTAACAAATATGCCATCGATTAATTCTTAAAACGGGATTAAGATTCCTAACTTGTTGGTGAGAGTCATCAAATAAGAGAAGAAGTACGAAAATCATTGTAGAAAATGACATTCATCGGCTCCTTACACAAAAAGATTTGTACACATTTTAAATATGTGATACAGCATTAAGAAAGAATTGCTCGTTTTTACGTATAAAAAGCCAAATATTCTTTGGTCAAAAGTAAAAACAAACTTTATTTTTTCCAAGATGAAAAATTAATATAAATTATGGGTGGTCCTGTGCTCATTAAAGTATCGTTTTTCTTTCACTTTACTTTTTATTTTTTTCTTTCTATAAAAAAGTTAACATACTTTAATTGCGGGTGTTCAAATAAAAAATACTAAAAAATAGAAGAAAAAAAAATGAGAGACAAGATAATTCGGATCCCTACTCAAAAATCAAAATTCACAAATATCCAAAAGTCAAAATTGCCTTTCATTCCTAATGAAATTGGAGAGAGGATCCTCTTTGTGTCACATCTGTTCATCGTACATTGTACGACAAGTTTTTATCAGGTACCATTTATATTTAATTTTAAATTAAAAAATTTATAATAATTTATGACCGCATAATATACAATGAACGAATATGACAAAAAGAATCCGATGAATTTTTTTTTTTTTTTTATAAAAATGTTGACGTACAAGTGTTTAAACAAAAAAAAAACTAAAGAGCAGAAAAAAATGAGAGATGAGAGAATTCGGATCCCTGCTCATAAATCAAAATTCACAAATATCCAAAAGTCAAAATTGCCTTCGATTCCTAGAGAAATTGGCCCCATTATTTGACTATTGACTTCGGGATTTGTGTTTCGATTTTGATTTTTCTTTATTCCCATTTTCTTTTGAAATTTCAAGAAATTCAAGGGTATTTTGGGAAACAAAAGGTAAGACGGAGGGCAGGCTCGGCATAAGAACCACCATAAATACGTGGTGTGAGAGTGCTCTCCCATCTGTGTTCTCCCATCCAAACAAGAAAGAAGAAGTAGGGCGAAGATTGATAAAAAAAAAAAAAAGGGGAATTAATCGGCGGCGGCGAGGTGCAGCGACTGTTCTCCGAGGGACCGATAATCGGCGGCCCGTATTTAACGATCAAGATCGGGACTGAAACTGGTCTTCTCTGATTGAAATCTAGAAGAAGAAGAAATCGGATTCGAAAACCGTTTTTTGAATCGCTTTCCTTCGGCGAGGTTATGAAGGATTTGGATGTTGTGAAGTGACGGAATCTCTTCGTTGTTGGTCGATTGGATTCGTTTTGAGACCACCGCGGCGGCGGAGGCGGCGGCGGATTTGTTGAGAGTTTGAAGGAATCAGGTATTGAAAACCCTAAAAGCTTTTGATAATTTGCGTTTCGCCATTTTTTATGGTTAAATTTTATCTTTATCATCAATCAATCATCAATCATCAATCATCATCTTCAAGGACTGCGAAGCGAAACGATGAGGAGGCTTCTGATCGGCTCTGGATTTGTGAAAATCGCCGATTTATTGGGCTCTGTAGTCACTGTCTTTGATAAGGAACTAGTCCGCTTACAGATCTTGAAGGACTGCAGATTTTTCTCTAAGTTGTCCTGCTGGACTGGACTGGATGTCATGGAGCTTGGTCCTGATGGGCTCTTAGGATTGTATAACCATAGGTAGAGGCATAGGGCCGAGATCTCTGAGTCTTCTGATGTCGATTTCGATCGACTGTGGCTGCCAAATCTTGGTATTTGGATTGAAAGTTTTCGCCGTCAGCAGTAGAGGAATAAACTAGTTGGGCTTTTCCCCGGGAGCCATGCTTTTGCTGTGGTTGATAAAATTGTTGATAGGGAATCTGAACAAAAGTATAGCTTTTAGTTTTATATGGCTGGATCTGTGATGGGTTATGGGTGATCTGCTCTGTAGCAGAATCCCCGTCCTTAGAACTTCACCATTCCATTACTGATTCATCTTTTCTGTGCCCATCGGTATCGATCGAAGAAACCTTCACAGGATATGGAAGAACTTTGTTTCTACTGTGCAAAAGTTTTGTGGGTCTGTCGTAAATCTTAGTTCTTTCGAGGCCCAGAGACTGCCTGCTCTTGTTGCTGGTGATAATGAGCAAGACAATTTGAATTTCTTGTTAGGAAAAAAAACTTTTGTGCTGAATCTCTTTTTTGGGCACATTAAACTCAGTCTACTAGTTTGAATGATTGATGTTAGAAGACATATTTTTGTTGTCCTAGTACTTTATGGTTACAAAAAGAAGCCTGATTTCGAGTATTAGCGACTTGCTAATGTTCAATTCGACATTCTGAACCAACGGAGTTTTTGCAGTCCTCCAAAACTAGTTAACACGATCTGCCTCAAGGTAATGGCCTCTGGAGGTTGTGTTGGCAGTCTAGTTATCAGCTTTTGGCTCAATAACATTGTTATAGATTTTGAGACTTGATTTGTTTATCTGCTTTTGTTTCAATGATTATCGTTGTTTTTTGTTTATGGTCTATTTTCCATGCTGATCTTCGTCTTTGCTGATTTCAGGCTTGTTAGGCAGAAAACTCTTCAAAAACGTATTTCCTTTGGAGGGTTCTAAGAAAAAATCTTACAGAGTCCTCATCAGAAACCAAATCATTGTAAGAATCTAAGATTTCTGATGGTTTTTACTTTATAGTTTCTACAGTTTAGTTTGTATTTATATTCTCATAATCTAAGCTAATATTTGATTTTGATTGGCACGGTAATTTATTGAAACATCTCAGTTATTACATCCTGCAACTTCTTACCATGTATGGCGAAGCTTTTTGGCACTTATATTTATGTCCTTTTCTGGTTTGCAGACTAATTTCTGTGCTTGCACTGGGGGTATACCCACCTCTTTGGTGCAAAGTGGAAAGAAAGTAAGGACTGCATCTTGCAGAACTTGTGGTGGCAGACAAACAGTTGATGGGAGTACATCTCTCTGTCAAAGCATGATGAATACAGTACGTGTGGAACTTACAAAATCTATTAGTCCTGACTTGAACTGGAAGGTTTCAAAGGGTTATCGGAGTTCATCAAGGCGGTCAAGGAAACCTGTTGACAAAAACCAAAAATTGGGTGCAGAGCTAGCAGAGAAAAGTGCTAGAAGTGCATCAGAAGCAACAGTTTCTGAATCAGAGAAGGTTAATACTTTGTGATTTTTCCTTTGTTATTTGTATGTCCCATTCTTTCTAATAAGAGTGCATATCTGATTAATACTTCATGATTTTTACTTTTGTTTGTACCAATCTTTCTATTAAGAGTGCTTATCTGAGAAGTCTTCATGTTGCTGATATAATTGTCTGTTTTGCAGGGTGTGGCTGTATGTGGAAGACGATTGGGTGACAAAATTGAGCATGTACCAATTAAGAAACGGAGACTTATGGTCCGGTCTCCATCACCCCCTCCACACCTTGAAGACAACAAACCACTATTGGATGGCCGTCATTCTTCAGGTCATAAGTCTTGTGCAAAATCAGTTGGCAAAAAGCATCCCACAAGGAGTGATACGTCTACCCTGACTAGGGTCAGCCATAATATAGCCGGTAGCGGTGTTATTGAGAATTTGAATGCGATGACAAATCAAAAGCCTGGTGACGTGGATGACTTCTCTGGTATTGAGATATTGGCAGCTGCTGCCTGCAACAACAGCATAAATGATGATATCAATCATGTTGTAAAGAATCAAGTGGGTGAAGATTCATCTCGGGATGCAAAAGATGCATCAACTTCTGCAAGGCCCTTGGAGCAAACCACCATTGCGTCAACTTCTTCAACAGTCATGAGAACTGCTTCAGAATTTTCAGAAGCAAGAGATGCATCAGTCTCTGCAATCTTGGAAGAAAGTAGTGCGTCATTGGAAACGGTACATTCACTCCCTAAAGATGTACGACGAGAAGATAAAGTAGGGAGCTCCTCTTTCGAGGCTGAGGGGATTAATACCACCAAAGCACACGACGAAGCAGGAGCAAGATCCAGTTCCTCAAAAGATGTTAGGTTCCACTGGGACCTAAATGTTGGTATGGATGCTTGGGAGGAACCTTCTGATATGGTGATTGCTGATCCTCAAACAACTGCTGCAGATGATATCTCCATGGATAATAAGCAGGGTGCAAATTTCCAGGCTTCAGAAGGTAATGAGATACCAAAGGAGGAAGATGCAAAGAATGACATTGCAAGCACAGTGAAGAAGCCCATGTCTGACAATGAGGAACAGGGATTGAAAGCGTGCCCTGAATTTGAGTTGAGTTATGGTAAATGTGTTTCTACTGATAATGCTTTGGGATCTTCAAAAGATTCTGGTAGCGGTGCAAAAGCTTCCCCTCAGGATGCCAGTGTGGATGCATGCATTGATCCTTCTCCTTGCCCTGAGTTTGAGTTGAGTTATGGTAAATGTGTTTCTACTGATAATGCTTTGGGATCTTCAAAAGATTCTGGTAGCGGTGCAAAAGCTTCCTCTGAGGATGTCAGTGTGGATGCATGCATTGATTGTTCTCCTTGTGACATAGCAGCCACATGCCCTGTGTCTGAGGAGACCGACAAAACACTGATTTCCAGCTTTCCTGTTAAGCATATGACAGGAGATACTGCTTCTGGTGAACTACTGGGTGAAACTGTCTGTTCGGAGAGTGTTAAGGTTGAAAACCCTGCTTTAGCTTGTGTGCCAGAGGGGGCACCTTGTGAGATTGAAAGCACTGTTCTGGATGAAGATGGCAAGTGCTCTGGTGCAACATCTAGCGCCCATGATGATCCAGAATCTCCGGAAGAGACGAAGGGTGGAGAAAGCTGTCACTCACTCTCACCCGTTCTCCTTGATGTCAAGCCTGTGGCTAAAGCAGAAGATGTGGCTATTCACCATTCCAAACTTGATGTCAAGCCTGTGGCTAAAACAGAGGATGTGGCTGTTCACCATTCCAAACTTGATGTCAAGCCTGTAGCTAAAACAGAGGATGTGGCTACTCACCATTCCAAACATGATTCTAATGATAAATCTGCATCTGTTGGAGAAGGCCGATCTCTGGTGGCTGTAATTGCAAAGGAGCCAGTAGAAGCTGCATCAGGTGCATCTGTTGGAGAAGGCCAATCTCTGGTGACTGTAATTGCAAAGGAGCCAGTAGAAGCAGCCTCTGACACTCATACTGTTGATTCTCTGCCAAATGATGGTTCTGCGGAAGTAGTGCATAAACCTTCGGGGGATCCCATGATGAATCCAGCAGCTGCTGCTGGGTCCTTTCTTGAGCAATGCCACTATGGTGAAGGTACCTCACGTAGCTTGGGTAGAGCCACTAACGATCCTTCCAGTGATGATTATGACTTGAATACTCGTCAAGATGATAATGATCACATGGTTGGTGAGGGAAACACTGTGGAACCTGCAGCTGGTTACGACTCTCAGTATGAAGATGGGGAGCTGAGGGAGTCATATGTACCATATTGGGAGGAGAATGAAATTGATGACGTAGAAGTTGAATGTGTTGACTACGGTTCTGATACATGTGACAGTGAAGCTGATGATGACTCTGTATCAGGGAAAGTTGGAATGGGACTTGAATGCAGAGAAACTGAATTATTTGGGGAGTCGAGGAAAATTAACAGTAACATGAAGCTTGTGAGAGGATTGAGTCCAGGATCTGATAATACGTGTGAGAAAAACGAACATGCTTTGAGACAATGTTCCATTGGCTCGAAGACGAAAACTTCTGGATCTGATCAATTGCCTGGTGATTCTGAAGCTTCTTCAAACAGAACTGCGGAAGCAATTGAGGGGTGCACAGTAAGGAGACATGCTGTTAATAGCTTCGATTGTCATGATGCTAAACATTCTCCTGCCAACGTGGTTGGATCAATGGCATCTGACTCCTCAAATAAGATGGGTACTGAATGTGCAAGAAGGAGGAGGTAAACACTATTGATTTTTTATTCTCTTGAATGCAACTTTGGTTTTTCTATCTTGGTTACTAATTATTCGTTTGCTTCAGGTTGGGCAACTTTGATTCTTTTCGCTCCGAGGAAGCTGGTTCCAATCAATCCATGGGAAGGGAAAAGTCTGATTCACGTATGCAGGGTAAAAGTTTCGGAGATGTGGTTAAATCTTCAGGGAGTTATTGGGATTCCAAGGGCCGCGAATCACCCACTTATCGTGGTTCCTTTGGTTCTGGACGCTCTAGACCAAGAATTGTTGTTGAGAACCATGGTTATGAGATGGAATCAGACGACACATTTTCAGAAGCAGCAGGAGTTCACAACCGTGTTCGCAGGCAAGCTATAACTTTTTCATCAAATCGTTCGTATCATCCCGTGTTTAGAAGATCATCACCATCTGAAAGGAATAATGCACACAATATGCATAGGGGAATGATACCTATGAGAGATACAAGTCCTGATAGACGAAGGTTTAGACGATATCCACAAGGGGTTAACAGAGGCATCAGGGAGGAGTACCACAGGCCCATGCCCGATGATCCCAACGAATGCTCTTATAATGTGCCACGACGAATGCCCAGGAGAGAACAAAGCACTTCACCCCCTGGCAGAGGACCTATATATTATAGTAGACCCTATCAGAAGCCCCAGTCTCGATGCAGAAGTCGCTCTCCTCTTGGATGGGGTTTACCGAGAGAACGGAATGATATTTCAAGACATCGTGGTAGCAGGTCTCCTGATTATAGGTTTGATTCTAATATGGAGCTGAGGGTGCCTTTCCAAAGGCAAAATTTCGGAGGCAAGTATGATGTAGGGTTCGTGTCCCCACCAAAGCGTCGGTTTTCCCCACAACAGAATTCCAGATGGTTTGATGATTCACATAGAAGTGTAGATCATAATATCAGGGGCGGGAGATTTGCTGGAAGACGGTTCCAGCCAGGACAGAGGTTTGACTCAGAGCGTACATCTCGGAGATTGAATCCAGATGGTTACTCTGAGCCCGTGATGCGTCCTGCAAGATACTCTGAGTTGTCCAGTGGTGGTAGGGAGTGTAGATACGAAGGTAGTGATGATGATAGAAGGAAACCTGATGGAAGATATGAGATCGTTCATCGTGTGAGGCGTTTTGATTCAGATGGTGGTGTGCGTCAGTACCGTTATGATGAAGAAGATCGTTTTGCATCTCACAACACGCAGAACTACGATGAATCTGACAATAGGGCAGCCGAGAGGCGGCCTCGAGAAGCTTACGTAGGAGTAGCAGCGAAGAGGAGAGTAAATTAAGGTTCCAATGCTGACTCAGTATTAGAACTCCGGCTTCTGGTGCAGCTCAACTCATTTAACCCGAAACATGCGTCATTCGCGAGGAGAAATCTTCCATCACCCTTGCCGGTATTTCATCAAATCGACGTGTTACTCTCTGGCGGATAGAGTTCTTCCGATTTTTTTTTTGTCCGGTGATAGTTAAGTCGAAATATTCGTGCTCTTCCCGGCGGCAGCTGGCGCTGCTTGTGGAAGCTACTCTTACCGTTCTGATTGCGCCTAGACAAAATTCTTTTTAGGTTAGGGCCTAATGTTACTTTCCTTCACCTTGAATTTATTTTCCTTTATTTTTCTTTTAGGCATTTTTAAATGACTAGTGAAGAATCTCAAGCTTTTTTGTTTCAAGGCTTCTCTCGTTTCCTATTGCTGTTTGCTTTTCTCTCTTTACTTTCTCTTCAATAATAATTTTCCTTTGCCTTTTTCGAACCAATTAATTTTCATATACATGCATTAATATTACTGTGACGGTATTTCAAATTAGTGTCACTTATATTGCTGTAGGGGTATCTCAAATTAATGTTTGGATGCAATGACATACGCGGGTAGGTCAAGTCCTCAATCACCCATCACAACATTTTCCTTTTCTTGGATTTGAGGTTTACCTCGTGAAAGCTCATGGAATGGTAATGTTGGTTGTAGGCCAGGCCAGATGAACAGATTGCAGCCACTTCTTGCCTCATATTTCTTGGGCCACTAACAAGAACCCCAATACTTGAACCTTCACGCTCAAATCGTATCCCTACAAAAATAATCAAATGTTAAATCCCTAATCTTTCTACGGTGAGGAAGGCTTTCGAGTTCTTGCTCAGCAACGGAAAACCGCCCACTTGGAGAAGCAGTCGTCGGAGTTGGTGTGTCCAGGAGTTGAATCTGCCCCATCTCCTTGAGGCTATGTTTCTTGTTCCATAAGAAAACTACTGTTGCAGATGCCATAGAAAAGGCATAAAAATAGCATGTTCAAGGCAGATCTAGCTGAGTCGGAAAATATCATGTTTGGAGTCGTGGTCAATTGGGTTTATGCAACTATCATGTCGTGCCTGCACTGGCATGTCATTTTCACCATGTTAGTAAAGTTAGCACACACATTTGGCATACTAAATATTGGGGAAATGGTTTACAATGTGAGCACTTTAGCATGTTGCTTGAGGCGGGTCCCAACGGTCCTTCGACTGAGACCTCTAGGCGGGTGGCGGGCAGAGAGGATGACAATTCCTGATACAATTTCTCAGACCAATTTCCTTCTCTTTTGATCACAACACTCAGCTTGTTGGGATCAAATTTGGTACTAGAAGTAACACTAAAAGGATGCTATTGCAGCTTTGAAATGCCGGGCACATTTACAAACACCATGATTGTTGGAGAATAATTGAGTTCTGTGGGAAAGCTCGATGTAGTATTTATTTAGAGCTCATTTGGCGCCTGGGATTGATCATCTTTGTTTTCTCACCTGGACTCTTGGAGAAGTTCAACTCAACAGCCTCACACGGGCTGAAACCACGCGAATTCTATGCTGACATTGCAAGAAACGCAAGAACCTATCAATCAGGAAGAGGTAAAAGCCCGGCAGCATTATGCAAGCGTAGGAGAAACCCACGTGAAACACGATGAAGACAAGGAAGACAATGTAGAGATGATGTGTGTATAAGAAGAGTTCAAAGATCTTGCAAAACGCCTTCCTTGTTCCATTCAACATCTACACCAGCAATTGCTTCATAGTGAGAATGGCTCATTTCTAAATAGTGTTTTGAAGCTTCGGAAATTTAATTACCTCTGAGATTTGGTTTGTGCTCCCCCAATAGAAACATAAACTGTGCGCCGTAAAGAGCATCATGGCAAGATGCCCTAGACAGATATGGTACTTGAAGCTTGCCTCTGATGCGAGGCCAATGATCCGCACAATGGAAGATCCTCTGCTCACAGGGAAAAAGAGAAAGGCTAGACAAATGCTCCCAACTATCCCTAGTGTTAATGCGACACTTCCCAACTTTGATTCCCACAGGCCAAATATAACAGTTACAAGGTTTGAGGGGTTCTCTGATATGTGAGTGAGTAGCTAGGTAGGTGCATGTAAATATATGAATACTCCATTATTATATACCTCATTGTTTTTCTGCAAATGATCAAGTGCCATGGCTGATGGCTACATAGTAATTAACATTAATTGTACAATTAGAGCATATGTAGATTCCATATTATGATAAATCTAGTACTAATTTATTTCCACCCACCAAAACAAAAAAAAAAAATACAAATCCATAAACATTTTACATTTACACATCTTTAAAGACATGAGAGGTGCTGAAAGCAAATCTCTTGAACGAACAATTATTTGAGCGTTATAATACAAGCTGAATTATATTACACTACGGTAGCTCGGGCATGCATCACCAATTGAAGCTAATGGACTCGAAGTGCAAATTATCTGCCGAACGAGACGAACAGATTTTGGCAACATCATGTCTCATCTTCCTTGGCCCACACACCAACACTCCAATATCAGATCCCTCGGACGCCAACAGAATTTCTGGGTTGCAAGCAGAAACAGTAATTAATCACTTATCCAAAAATGTGTTACTACAAGAAAGAAACGTGACAATGGTCGTTAATACTAGAGAGATAATTAATTAACGTACTCTTGAGATCAGGCCTTGTTCCATAATGCACCTGTGTGGCTTGAGAAATTAGGGTTTCAGGATGATATGGAAGGCCTTCAAGTTCTATTTCATGAGTTGGCGCTTCCCCATTTTGGATTTGCTTCCCTTCCAGGGCATTTAGTTGTCTCTTGCACCAAAGAACAGTTACACTAGATACCAGCAAAATACAAGAACAGGCCAAAAACATGTACCAGAGACAGATAAAAGACTGGTGATAAATTTCACCAGTGTTGTGGTCAATCGGGTAAATGTAGAAACGAGTGATAAGTCCCAAAGTAACGAGAAACAAGACGAATGAGGACGAGATTGTTGCACCAAGCCACAGCCAACTGCTTGGACCTAAAACCCTAGAAATGGGTGAGTCCAACGGGTCGGCCTTAAACGACACTGTTTGGATGGGCTTCCAAGCCAATGCCGGCTGCTGTTCTGTCTCTCTGGTGACATAGGCTTCAATTTTCAAATCTACACGGGAAAAATCGAAAGGGGTTGAAGAAATAGGAAGCAAGAGTTGTAGCATGGACAGATCATCTGTGTTCTTGAAGGCACATATGAGCCGTACACGTGGCAAATGGGAATCGGGTTTGGTGGTTTGGAAAATAATTTCACGGATTATGGAAATGAGAGAAGTGATTCCACTGCCTCCACTGAACATCACCAGAGCCTCGTGCCTTAGAAAATGAGATGAAATGGGGCCATAAGGTCCCTCGACAGAAGCTTGGACATGATCCACATTTGAAGACAGTTGCTTGTAGAGTTTTTGAGACCAACTTCCTTCACTCTTGATGACAACACTGAGATTGTGTGGCTCCATGTTAGGGTTTGAAGTCACTGTAAATGGGTGCCATTGCAACTTGGATATGCTTGGCACGTTTATAAACAAGATGCTAGTGGGATTATAATCCAATCCTGAAACAAACAAAAAAATAAAATAAAAACAAGGTTACTAATTCATGTTTTATAATATAAGTGTGGATGGACATTCATATTTTCAAATGTTAGGATATAGTATTAATAAACCAATACCTAACACGACACTGATAAGTACGAGTGCGACATATTTAATGGTGGCTAAAGATAAATGCATAACTAATTCATATGGTATAATATGAGTGAGCGATATAGTTAATATTTTCTAAACCTAGCTAGGGGTATAAGAGTTGATATTTTCTAAACCTACCGTAAATGAATAAATAAATAAAAATACATCAGAAGTCTAAATGCGACATATTTAATGGGTGCGTAAAGTGAACCACATTACTAATCCACGCATTAGAATATGGATAGCAACAAAGTTGATACTTTCCAACACGTGCATGAGCGCAACGTATTTAATGACGACTAGAGCAGAATTAGTTACCTTGGGTCTTGGCAAAGTTTAGCTCAATGGTATCACATGGTAAAATGCGAGCTGAGACTACCCCGGCTCGTTGGTACGACTGTAAAAATCTCAAGTATCGATCGACGATGAAGAGGAAGATGCCGGGGAGGATTGTGCAGAAGCAGGAAGCACCAACATGCAGTACGTAGAAGAAGATGTAGAGAGCGTAGAGATGGTGTGTGTAGAAAAAAAGTTCAAACATTTTACGCCTAACGCAAGGAATGCTTGTGATCCACATGGCCATTGCAAACACAATTGCAATCTCCCCGGCTACATTTGCTACGTAGATTTTGCTCCACTCAAGAAGCTGCAATTAATTAATGTCCAGCACATATTAAAGGGTTGACCACATCCTCATAATTAGGTAATTTTGTAGTAAATTAGTTGGATAGGGAGTGCTAGTATTGGAGAAATTTTTCAGTGTACTTAAACAACACTAAATGTAATAATACAAATAGTTATAAACATAAAAAAATAAATTTCCAACCAATTGTATTATGACATTACGAAAAAAATTTCCTTGTACTGGTAGTTGTTGTACTATACAAACTTAAGTGAGTGGCTGCAACGTACACTTTCCAGTATATGAGAAGTTAATCATGCTGATGATTATTTGAAGTTTTG